GGCTTGTAATTTAGCACTTGTTCAGCAATAGCTTCTCAAAGCAGCTATAACATGTTTTAGCTGTAATTTGATATTGATATAGTTCCTCTTTCTGAAGATTCCTGGGGTAAATTCCTCAGCTGAGATGCACAGTTGCAGCTTCCCTGGTGTTGAAAGAGCTTATCTATGTACTAAAGAGCTAAGCTCAGATACTTATGAGAGTGTGGAGATTTTGTGGTTTTCATCCATTTGATCTGAACATGCTCATAAACATCCCAGCGGTTCAAGTTTCCCTCCAGCACTGGTGGTGCAAATCTGTGCTTATGACTAAAACGAATGATCAGTGCACACACATTGCAATGGGCACACGTGGATTCTCGCCACTGGGCAGTTCCTTGGACTTAGTGCCCAGATATGCCGGAGAGCTGTAAGTCTGCACAGTTCAGTGCTGTTCTTTCATGCAGTGCTTGAACTCAGAGGTTCGCTCCCATTCCTTCCTCTTCAATGACACCAAAAGCAAATTCCCCAACCATTCTTCTCTCTGCTTGCTTCTTCCTTGCCCAGTGGTATTTTATGTTAATGCTCTGCAAGAGCTTGTGAGGACCAAATGAGTTGGATTTTATGCACAACTGAACAGAGGTCATGGACAGAGGTCAGAAAAGATAGTTCAAGGATCTTTAGGTGTCATCAGAGGGATTATGTGTTGAAAGGAGTGGTTGTGACACCTTGTGTCTGTTGTTGCAGAAACAACGTAAAAAGTTGCCCCAAGCATAAGAGGTTCTTACAGATTGCTTACTTGGGTGTTTCTACTTGTTTGTTATTCAGTCCTAATTCTACTTATCTGGGCCTCTTTTCCCACCCATTTATTGCCACTATTTCCAACCCCTTGCCTAGGGAGCAGTATGTTATGCTTTCTCCCAATTTTCTCCTTGGATGTCAGCTGAAGCTTTCATCTCCCACTCTATTATAATGTAAAATACATTAATTGCCTTATATTTTCTGCACATGCTCTGTTATGCAGGAAATACACATTTTGTCATTTGTGAGGTGATAACTCTGAGCTGTGAAACTCAGGGGCCAGGGCTTCCTATGTAGCCAGGAGGAAAGGTGATAGGCTCTTAGCTTGGGCACTCAGCATCACCCTCTGGATTCAGTATCTCCTCTATGAACATTGGCTCCCAGTTTAGGCACCCGAGCTAACACAAGTTGACGAGCCCTTTCCCTTACTGTATACCTGCTGTTTGCTGCTTTTTGCTTCCTGGCAGTGCAAAAGGCTGGAGTTATAATCAGCCCTTAGTGAATCACTTAATTCCTCTGATAATTGTTTCTCCCATCTCGAAAGAAATTATGCATTTCCCTGCTTTCTGCCATTTATAGAGAAGTGTCTGCCTGCTGCTTTTTTTCCCCCCCTCAGCTTTACTTTTCACTCCTTTCTCAGCATGAGACTGGCTTGTTGAGCCTGCCTCTGCTTCCCATTTGCCACGTGTGAGAGGCTGAGCAGAGGAACATTGTGTGCTGCCTCAGGACTCAGTGGGGCTGACAGAGTGAGGAACTGCAGCCTCTGGAGAAAACTCATTGATGCTTAAGCTCAAGGCACTGCATTCCTCAGGACTTTTAAAAATATCACTGGTTGTTTTATTTTTTTTTTTCCCCTTTCTTTTCTTTCCACTGTGTACCACTCATTAAATTGTGAGATCTTCTGAAGATAAATGTCGTGTAGATAAATGCCCCATGTTAACTCAGCAGTTTGGTATATAGAATTCAAGAGAATGGGAAACTTAAAAAAAAAAATGCTTATAAAGGGAACTGATCTGGCAGCAGGGATGTTGTTTAGAGACAGTATTTGCCGAAGACTTACTGTTAGTGACCATATGCATTCTGGGGATCTGATTCTGCTTTCTTTGAAGTCAGTGATAATCTGCTGTTGTCATGTGTGGCTGTAGGATCAGCCTCGTTAAGAATAGCCTGGCCTCTCTACTGCATAATGTTTCTCCTTTTGGCTTCCAATAGAGACATCCATATGGCAGAAACAAAGACGTTCCCTTGCTCTTTCATTGTAAATATGTTTTCCTTTTGCAGCAAGTCCAAATGAATGCCAAAGAACTGCAGCTTGCAAACATTCCCTGCCTGGGCTTTGGGGCTAGAGAAGTGGTTGTGTTGAGGAGAATTGCAGAGATCAAAGCAGAAGACACAGACAAATAAACTGTCTCTTCTAGTTCACTGCTTGAAACAAATAATTCATTCAAATGTCAAATCAGCAAAACCAGGTTGTTTCTGATTGACTGGGTTATTTCATTATCACTGATTTAATGTGGAAGGAGTTTATTCATTAAAAAAAAGGCAAAATATAACAGTGAGATGTATTTGGTCTCAAGGCTTTAATTCAAAGTGAAAAAAATTCACAAACACCCTGAAATAATTTGGTTTTTAAGCAAAATGAGAAAAAGAATAGAAACAAGACTTCTTGAACAGCAAACCAGTTGCTGAAGAAGCTCTCGCTGTTCAAGGGGAAAGGGTTAAAATCCCTGTGGTGTCTCCTCTGACCTTCACATTACATTTAAGAGGAATTTGGCCCAAACTTTCTCTTGGTAGAGAATCTGACTCAGAAAAGCAGCCTCTGCTCACGGTGCCTTGCTCCTCCCTCTTCTCTCATCCAAGACTTCTCTGGGCCCATTTCTATACTTCGTATTTCAGGTCAACATTAGTTATGTTGAATTTAACTGGGTTCAAGCAATTCTGTTTTACATTGTGTCTAGGAAAGAGAATCCCCCTAGAACTTACAAATGCTTTACATTGTAAAAAAGTTGTCTTTTCACTGATGGGCTCGTTTCTCAGAAGTTTGGATACTCTGCAGATGAATACAATAACATTTGTTTTCACATGGAAGTGCATGTTTGAGCACTGTCTCATGTAGCTGGGTGTTTTGAAATCTGTTAATCCATTCCAAAATGCTTGCTTGACCTATACTTGACTTGGGCTTACAAGAAATTTTATTATACTAGTACAGCCCAATTAGCTGTGAGTAAGTAACAGCATTTTGCAAATTTGACTATTTGTCATTGTTATGATTATCACATCTAGAGCTCTAGAGTTTACAAATAACAGAATTACTGTGCAATATCTATTTTTCTTCCCACAGAAGGAATCAATCCATTCCACAGGCATCCCAAGACACTTGTAACTTTACACTTTTTTTTTTTAGGAATATTTGTTTGTTAAGATTTATCCTGTTCATTCAATTATTAAAAGGTCTTCCTTCATATACCCTATGCACCGAAGGTGTTCTTTCCATATGTACAATGACAGTGCAGCCTCTGGAATCAGATTTCCTCTGGATGAAATAGTAAGCTGTGATTGCCACTTCAGACATTCTTCAAGAGCAGCAGTGATTCAGATTTCTATTGAAAAAAGAGCTAAAACATCCACTCTTGTGCTTATATTTGACTAGAAATCTTAGTATGATGCATTACTGAAGCAGAACTGTATTTTCACTTCTATTGTGATATGTGAACTTGTTCAGCAAAAGTTCCTGCAGCGATAATTGATGAATCAAGCAGTCTCATGTTTCCAGGCTCAACAATTAAGTAGAAAGAACAAACTGCCTTTATTTTCTTTTGTAAAATAAAGAAATTCTGTCTAGAACAAAATAGCTGGTAGTCACATGGACTGAGTGTTAACCCAGGCCTTGCTCTCAATGAAAACACCTATGACTCAGCTGTCAACCCTTTAAATGCTGTGAATATTTTCTGTAACAGTGTGAATAATAAACCATGCTACAGCTTTCTGTCCTTAATTCTTAATCGACATAGTATGTAGTAAAATCTGAGTTTGTTATAATAATTAGCTTGCATTGTAACATTGTATTAAAAACATGGGGTTTAGAGTCATCTTTAGATATAAAACTAAAAGCAAGTTGGTTTATAAGCTTTGAACTTCCTGCATGTTTCAATTTTTTGTAAATTCAAGCCTTGAATTTGAGTAGATCACTCTTTTCAGAGATGAGTTTCTGTTTAAGATGGTTGGAAAACTGGAAGGACCCTTTGATAAACCTGAAGTTTTAAATCAGTTGCTGATTATCAACTGTCTGAAAAAATGGATACAAAATGTTAATTTTGTTGATGGCACTCATTCATCTTCATGCTGCTTCATTCAGTGAGAGGTTTCCTAAGTTCAGAAGTTGTGAGAAATTGGGGGATATTGGATTTCACTTAAATCTGGACTGTAAATTTTGTTTCTGACTTTCAAATGCCAAAAATTCAAAGATTGCAGTCTGCTTTTTCATGTATTTTTCATTTATGTCATATTTAGTGATTAACTGTTCAAGCCTCTATCCATTACTAGCAGGATGAGTTTCCTTCTGGGATACTGGAATTTTACATAACTTGAAACAAATAGCTGCCTAATTGGAAGACATGATATGTTTTAAAGAACACTTTGAGGATGCAGTATGGTTGGGACAGAAATTCTTACCCTTTTATGTTTTCAATCTTCTCTCTTGGCACTGCTGAGCCAAAATGTTTATTCTTTCTTTGCCTTCCCTCAGGAGAAGAGAAAAATGAAGGTAGCATCAAATAAGGGCTGTCTTATTGTTTGTAAGAGTGGTATGTTGAGAACGGTTATTTATTGGTCTTCATTTCACCCTGTGAGTGGCTGTTACAGATTCATAAAATCTACTGATACACTTTAAAGTAGTTAAGTGCCTTAGCTTTTATATTTCAATAAATTTTCCACAGCTGCAGATGCTCAGAACCACGTCTTGTGAAATCTTTGTATTTTATTTAAAAAAAAAAAAAAAAAAGGCAGTGAAAAAAATCCAAAGAAACTTGTCAACCACATAGCCAAGTTCTCTTCCAAATACTTCCAGCTGCAGCTAGAGGGATGAGTCATGCTGAAAGCTGAGGAGCTTTTTCTAAAAGCCTTTCACTTGGTTCACATGATTTTATTTTTTTTTTATTTTTTTTCTAATTTTACATTCCTGTCTGTTTTTCTTTCCTTAAAAAAAAACCAACCCAAATGTGAAGGCGAGTCACCCAAGGAAAACCCGTACGAGGATGTGGAGCTGAAAGGCCGTCACGCGGGCCGAAAATCCCATCAGCTCTCTGAGAATTCCCTAGATTCTTTGCACAGGATGTGGACGCCGCAGAACAGGAAATACACATCACCTCCCCAGGTAACAGCCTGTCTTTCTGTGCTTGAAGCTTATTTAAAGCTTTTGCAAGGAAATCAGTCGTGGCATAGGAGGAAGAGCAGCCGTGCTGGATGATAAAGAGCGAGGCCGAACGCATGAGTCAGTGCTGGGAACGCTCTTGGCAGCTGTAGCTCAGCTTCCCAGGGCTGCAGGAGCTGGTGGCCCTTTGTGCTGGCTGTGGCCTCAGGGTTTTAATCAGAATCCTTCCACCGGTTGTTTGTGAGTTAAATCTGGACCTAAATTATTTGTATGGCTGCACCTCTTAGTGAATTGCCTCTGCATTTGCTGCTGTGATTTTAAGCAGGAGGGGAAAAGTCAGCTGCTAATTTTGCCGGTTTTATTGTTATTTGAGGCTTCTTGTGACTTTGCTCTTGAGAAGTACATACTGTGGTTATGTTTTATTGTAAAATGGAGAATGCCAACTATGTCCCCCCAATAAATAAATGAAAAATAAAATAATCAGAAAAACCTGAATGTCTGCATTTAACAAGGCTGTATAAGTTATGTTTACAGCAAAAGATGAAAGATGAGGAACTCTGCAGACTTTCTATTTTGTGGCAAATTTTCCAAAGCAAATCTGTTTTTTTGTGAACTGTGCAGCATCTAGAGAATCTAGGACGGTGTATCCTTAGGGTAGGAACCATATAGGACCGTAGCGAGATACTGTCCAGTGTTCTCTGTTTAACACAGGGTGACCAAAGAACGTACAGATTTAAACAGCTTCTGTAAAGTTGTTTGGTAAATAAGTACTCTCTGGTATCTTTGCAACAGGGCTGTCTTTATTCTGGCAGCTTATTTTGGAAATGCTGCTGGGAGTTCCCTGCCAGGAGTCAGTCCTGCCATAATTGCACTGTCATTGTGCTGATATTTAAAGTGGAGAGGCACTATGAGCGGGTCAGCTATGGGCCTGGGTAATTCTCCAATGACCAGAAATAGAAAAGGCTGAATTTCCTGAAGAATGGTAGTTTTGGCAACAATTTATCACCCAGTTTTTCCATTATAGCAACATAGCTGGCTTAGCAACATGACTTTTCAGTCATGGATGATGATAAACAAGAGGAAAGAGATCAGAAGGTCATCAGGCTTCCAGTAATCATCTCCAAAAAGAATTCCTTTCATTAAAGTATAGACTGCTGTAGATTTTCCTGGTGTGCTAATCTGTGGTCAGCAGGGACCTCAGAAACACTGATTTTGAATCCCACTGAGTCTTCTCCTTTCCCATTTGTTATTTTCAGTTTTTGAAGTCATCAGATGCAAAAGCAATGTTTTATAATGACCTTGTATTTGTGATGCAAAACCCATACACACAGAAACACCTGCGCTTAATCCCAGATAGCATGGCACTGTAATCAGTAAGCCCTCCAAGCAGAAAAAATGCGACATTTATTACTGCAGGTTTATAACTTATAATAGTGCTGATAGAATATTAGCAAATGCCAATTGACAGACATTTTACATAACAGTACTTTTTCCTGGAGGTGCTGGTAAAACTTCTTTACAGTGTTTGTGTTTGGGAGGAGAAGGCGGGGACCCAGCCTGGCCAGCCTACTGATTAAGCTTCCTGAATGCTGAGCAGAGCTGCTTGAAGGACTGCTTCAAAAGAAACCTAGTTTTTAAAGACAGATGTTACTTGGTGCTTAATCCTGTCAGTGAAATTTTCCCCTCCCCCTGCAGTGATAACAGTTTTGTGTTTTAAAGGGAATTTTTTGGGAATGCAGGACAAAGGTGTAACAGCACCTCTGCATGTTGGCAGATTTTAAAACTCCTTAACACCATGAAAATACTTCAAGCTTGATTTTTTTGCCTTTTTTTTTTGTAGGAAAAAGTATTCTGAATTTGCTATTTTTAATTGCTATTACATTGAATTAATATTGCACTGAATTGGATAATTGCTCTTGACCTCCACTCCTGCAATTGAAAGAGATGGGCCAGGCCAACTGGGTCAGTGTTTTGACGTCAGACAAGTCTTTAAGTCAGATTTTTAAGGCTCATAGAGTTGATGTGATGTGAGTTCAGGGAAATGCACCAGACCCAAAAGTACCGTTGCTTTCTTTGAACTTTAAAGTCTTAGATATTGACCCCTGACCCTTCATCATGATCTTAAACCCTCCCTTCACACATGTCCCGCAGAGCAGTGGCTCACCTGGCGGGATGTCCTCGTGTAGCCACCACTCTCTCACAGAGAGCTGCCTCTGCTCTGTGTTGCTGAGGAGGGGATGAGCTCAAGCTGTTCTTGTTCCTGCAGCTGCCCTCGAAGCCCAGCAGTCAGTCTCTGCGCGTCGCCAACTGGTCAGAAAGGAAGAGCCACCGCTTGCCACGGCTGCCCAAGCGGCACAGCCACGATGACATGCTGCTGCTGGCTCAGCTTGGCATCCCCTCCTCCCCTTCCAGCCTCAATGAGGACAGCCTGAGCACTGCAAGCGAGCTGCTGTCTACACGGCGGGCCAGGAGGATCCCAAAGGTATTGGCAGCGTGATCAGGCTTATGCTGAGGACAGGTCACCTGTCTGCAAGAGCTCCCAAATTTCTATCCAGCCTTTAGCCATCACTAAAAACTCTTTGTATCCTAAAGGAGCATTTAGATCAAAACAGGAACAGTAATTCTCAGGAGCCAAGCCATACTCCTTTTAGTTGATTTTAAGGCAATTCTGCTTTCCACACTCTTCTTTAAGCTCTGTGGACCAGAGCATTGTTGTGTACATAGCTTTATGATTTTGAATGGGTGATGGCCAAGAAATTATTAGTTATAACATGCAACAGCATCTGAAGTGGTTTATTTCCCTATAATTTGTTTCCTGGTCTCAGGAAAATAACTATTATTGGCCTAATATGTTTCCCTTCATTTACTCACAACCTATCCCATCCTGATAACCATTTTGCCTTCACGGATTTGAAGTAAAACTTAATTTTTTGTTTTTCAAGGAGATTTCCAACTCAAAATGTAATGTGAAAAAAAATCCCAAGCCACTAGATGACAACCAAAAAACTCAACAAACCTTTTCTTGTACAATAGCAACAGAGAGGGGGAGAACTGCTAATGTACTTAATTTTGGTTTGTGAACAAAGTTGAGTTTTACTCTGTATACAACTCTTTCCTGTTCTTATTAGAGAGAATATTTTAAAGCACGTGGCTATAAATACCGTGAATACAGGGACATTTTCATGTTTCTGTCAATTAGTCAGAAATTCTGTTTAAAGAGGAAATTACATCCTTAATATTAACTATATTTATATATAACTTAATATTAGCTATATCATTTTCTTGGTATATATTGTTTTACTGCACAAATGAGCATACATCTATGGAGGAAGTTACATAGTAACTTAGAGAGTAGCTTACTACTTGTTTTTGAGTAAAACTTTGACAGTTTGGCTTTTAGTTTTATACCTTTCTTTTTTTTTATTGATGAGGCAGGTATTCTCCTTATGTGAAATTATGTTTTCAGCATATGAATGTTCACAGTTTTATCATAACCCTTGTGATGATTTCTATTTTTTATATACTGTAACTCCCGCATGTTGCTGGAGAATATCAGGGTTTTTTACTGAGAAAATGTTAGTTATTAGAGGGAAAATTTCAGACTCATGTTCTGTACCACCCCCAGTGACGCTTCATGAAGCAATACCCAAGTCCTTCAAACATCTGGGCTTTCCTCATCATAGTGCAAGCATTTTACCCTTGGTGAAGTAGCTCAAGCAGACAAAGTGCCAAGCAGCACAGCAAGGGGAGTGAAAAATCCCAGCAAGGTCCCCCGGTCCTGGTTCCTGATGCCTTGCGTAGTGGTTTCCTGCAGGAGTTTCTGGGCTGGTGCACGTGCAGGAGCTGTGCAAGGATTTATCCTGCTGGCTCTGCCAGGATTCCCAGTGGGCAGAGCCAGGCACATGGCTGCGAGCAGAGAAGTTCAGCTGAGCTTTGCTGGTGGGTTGCACATGGCTCAGTCAGCACCTAGAGGCAAAGTCCCGGATACTGCTTCAAGTGGGAGAACAAGTGAGGCTTATAACACTTCAAAATGTTCTGGGCCAGACCCTCTTCATCTATTGGAGGGGCTGTGTGAAGTTTTGTTCCAGTCTGTGCTCTGTTACAAGCCTTCTGCTGTGTCTATGGCAAATTAGTTTATCTCTCACTGAGTTTCTCTCTCTCTGCAAGCTGAGGTGAAATAGGTTTTGCAAAATGTATTGTAGTTCTATGAATAAAACTGCTATGAAATAAAATATACTATTTCTGACTCACAAGACATTATGAAGATTAATTGCATATTATGACATAATTATGACTCCCCAGAAGTCATAATAGTCTGTTTAATTATGAATTCTTAGTAATCCCAACCTCTTGTTGAAGGCATTAAGCACAAGTTATCTCATTAATATTTTCCATCATCTCAGATTTTTTTTTTGGCAGACAGTTATGATCTGCATTAGCCCTCCTGAGGGAAGTCACAATGATTACCAGGACTTAAAATTCTGGCTAGTGGTGGATAAATCCAGCTAAAGACAGGACTAGCAACTAACTTCAAAATATTCTTGTAGATAAGGATAAGATTGGGGACAGTAGGTACAACATCTCTGAAGTGAGATAAGTACTGGGTGAGTTGGAAAGGGGAAGGAGGAGAAGTCCATATGGGCCAGATCCTCAGTTAATACCATGTGTCTTTAAAGCAGCTGGTTCACTCTGTACCTGAAAAAGCTTTAAAAAGTTAGACCCAACTCCTTGTGCTTATTTGAACATATGAAAATCTCAGTTCAGAGAGGTTCTGGTACACCTTACACTTGCATTCAAAATCTGAATATGATCTTCAGGTCCATGAGAGGTGGCAAAGCTGGATAAGGCTAATGGATTACTATTATTTAGAAGATGCAAGTGAAGAGAGAAACAATAACTTAGAGGAATGAGGTGGTAGAGGATGATAGTTACCTTTGAATCCTCAGGCTCATTGCTTTTATTGCAAATCGGTATGGGATTTTGGAAAATGGGATTTAGGTTTCTGAGTTATTTAATTGTTTTTAAAGATATACCCATAGGTAAAGAAGTGAGATTGAAAATAACTTATTCATGCAAACGGGATTCAAAATAAGAGAAATAAAAAATGCACTTTGAAATAGTAAAGGCTTTGGGGGTTCAGCTGCCGTATCATCCATGGTTAAATTGTTTGTTTGGATAGCTTAATTAAGTGTCTCCTGTCAGAGAAGTGTTTAGTCTTACTGATTCCTCATTTTCTTATTTTGCAGCTTGTCCAAAGAATCAATTCCATCTACAGTGCAAAAAGAGGAAAAAAAAGACTGAAGAAACTTTCTATGTCCAACATCGAGACAGCATCCCTACGAGGTATGATGCAAGTTATGGTTCAGTGAATCCATTGGAATGTTACAGGATTAACAGATTCTCTTCTTTTCTCCCTGGACTCTACTCTCTTTGGAACTTTCTTCCATGAACAACAATAACTTTCTCTCTGAAAGAGGAGAAAACGAGGATGAGCTAAAAATAAATGAGATTCTCAGTATTGCCTCTCCTATTAATCCCACGATCAGCTAGACTTATCAAGCTTCTGTAGTTCACTTTTCAAGTCACTTGTATCTATGAGTTTTGTCCAAAATTCACAGGTTTGACCTTGTAATTCTTTCACGCTTCTTCCTGGCACTCACAGTGTGCTTCAGACTGCTTCTGGAAAAACAGGAGCCAATAACAAATTCAGGCCACGTTTGTAGTAAGAGTGCAATAGAGCTTTAATATAAGTACCCCTCAGAAATACATCTTGTCATATGTCTGCTTTTGCCTGTTAACTCTAACTCAGTTTGTTGAGTTCTGGTGATTGAAGATGTCGCCCAGACAGACAAAGCTCACAAGGCTTAATTTGGCTTCTCAAGTGCTCCACAAATTTTTTTTTTTCCCAAAAAAATTAAAATCTGAAAACAGAAGTGAAAGGGTTAAGATCCATTTTCTAAATGGAATATTCACTTCTGCAGCTTAGCATAGATGGGAGTTCAGTGCAAACAGTTGCTGTAAGGCAGAATGAATTTTGCACTTTCATCAAAATGAAGCTCTTATTTTCAAGAAAAATTGGAATTGAATCCAAGGAAAACACAGTCTAAGGAGTCATTCAAACTGTTTATTTCAAGATATTTTAAGACTGAGGAGAAGTGCATGCATGGATCACAAGGCTCAGAGATGTGAAATAGGATTTTTCCTGGTTTTACCACAGTAAACTGAGTTTGTTTGCTTTGGTTTTGCATTAACTGATCCCTGTGTGTCCTCTGCAGATGAGAACAGCGAGAGTGAGAGTGACTCAGATGACAGGTTTAAAGGTAAGGGATCAGCCTTCAATAACTTCTGGTCAGACCCTGTCACTGACCTTACCAATGTACATTCTTCTGATACTGCACATTGTTTCTCCCCACGGTCTGTATTTTCTTTCCTGAGCTATGCTAAGTCCATTACTGCAGAGCTCACAAAAGTTCCAACACAGGAGCATAAACGTGGAAAGCAAGGACAAAATGAGCTGTGAGGATCTAACAAGGATTTGGCAACTGTGTCATATGATGAAGAACAGGACCTTTGATAGGTTTGCTTTGTTAGCCACTTCACAGATTCTGATCTATTCCAGACTGACTACTGGGTGTAGACTTAGAGGGATGAGATTGGTTAAAGATGCTTTCTTGTTGTTCATATGCTGCTTTTAGTGTTTGCTGTGAGCTGCCACTGGAGGCAGGAATCTGGGTCTGATCCAGCATAGTGGTTCTTACACTCTTTTATAAGTCTGCAGTCTCCAAATTGCAGAAATTCCTTTATCAGTGCACAGCACCTGCACAAACTCTGCCTGAACTAGGCCAGTAAGTTGCTTTTCAAGACTCCTTGCTTTTCAAGAGTCCTGATACAGAAAGAGACCTATAAAAAGTTGAAGGCAGCAACAACAGATTTCATTACTAAAACCCCATAATGTTGTTAGTAAATGAGGGGGGGAAAAACCCCAAGAGTGTGGATCTGTTGTTATAAGATAAGGGGCAAGCATTCATGTTTATCTGCTGCAGATGTTACCTACTCACTGTTCATGCAGCAAAACTTTCTCGAAAACATTTTCTTAGGGAAATAGATTTGTTCCAGATAAGTAGTGGTAAGAACACCCAAAATAGGCTGCATGCAACATTTTAGGGTTGTGTGGAAAAAGTTTCATTGCTCCTTTGTCTACCTCTACCAGCCCCAAAGCATTTTCAGTTCTCTTTGTGTCAAAAAACATACGGGTTGATTGTTCTCATGGTCCATGGAGGAAGATAGGCAGGGTCTCACCTCTCTTGTGTTATTGGGAGGATATTCTGATTTCACTGGAAACTGGCAGGCTTTTGCCCCATTGTTGTGCAACAGAGGATCTTCAGTCTGGTGTCTCACTAACCAACTGTTTCTGAGTGATCTTATATTTACACTGATGCTGTCAGGGCATCCTCAGCCAAAGACACAGTTGTCATGTGTGGCATGACAGGATTCACTGGGTCCCCATCTGGTGGGGTGGGCTCTTTGGTTTCACCTCTCACAGATATGAAGTGCCAGCTGGCATAGTAGGGCTGTCTCTGTCTCAGGGCAGGACCAGGCAGGTTATTCCTTGAGATTTAGCTTCCCTGGTTGTGCAGTCACACCAAGTGCTTTATCAAAATAATTCTTCATTTTTGTGTTGAACCAGTTATAGGACAACTGGTCATCAAGAGGTTTCCCTTTCTTTCTGGTAATTTATTATGGATGTGATCAAGTGCTTATGACATCTTATTTTCCTTCCACGAGGGACAGTCTGCCTTTTGCAAACTGTGGGCAAAGACAGTGAAGATAGCCTTAAGGGATTGGCATGTGCTGCTAAAGTTTGTTTGTCATTGCACAAAGATCATGGTGTGAAGAGGTGGGGCAGAGAATGCAGGAAACTGATTTTACTGAGCTGTTTTCACTTTTTGGTCAACCAGAACTGGTAATGATGTTACTGACTAATCTATTTTAGGTGTCTAGTGACAAGTCACTTGACAAAGGCATATCTTGGAGGTCTGGGCGTGACCATAAATCTAAGATTGTCCCTCAATTGAATTGGCACTAGCAAAGAAATCCATGGGAGGCAATTGGCACATCTTTCCTTTTCTTCTTGTCCCCTTTCCCTGGAGATACCCTGGTTCGTAACAAAAAAGCTGTGCTACATAGAGGCAGGGCACAGAACTCTTTTTCACCAATGTAAACCAGATCCAAATCAGGCCTGAGATGTGAAACCCTGGAGGCCCCAGTGCATTTGCACACCCACACAAGGGTTTATAATCTAGTCTTATGTGTGAAGGGAAAACAGACCTTTGGCAGGTTTACAGTTATGAACTGCAAATTATTTCAGTGACTTAGTGTTGCATCACTTGAGTACTTGGAGAGAGTTTTGATTTATGGGTGCAATTAGTGAGGGAGAGTACAGAAGGTTTGCTAACGAGAAGGTTTGCTTTTGAAAGGAGAACATGCTTGGAATAACACTGGCAAATTGAAAGGCCTTTGTGAATGGCTTTGGCTTACACACATACATTACAGTCTCAGGTAATGACCTGTCTCTTTTTTAATTCCTTTTTTTTTTTTTTTTTTTTTAATGCCAGCTCATACCCAGCGTCTTGTGCACATCCAGTCAATGCTGAAGAGGGCTCCAAGTTATCGAACCCTGGAACTGGAGCTGATTGAATGGCAGGAACGGGAGTTATTTGAGTATTTTGTGGTAGTGTCACTGAAAAAGAAGCCCTCTAAAAACACTTACCTCCCAGAAGTGACATATCAGTTTCCCAAGGTAAAAGAAAAATTCTTACATACAGTACATTCTAAGATCAGTAAAGTGAATAAGTGGAAAAATGAATACAAATCTAATTTTCAAATGGAGCTTTCAGAATTATTCCAAAGCAATCTGTTACAGAGTGACGGGCATAGAGAAGGTAACTGAAAGCTTTCCCTGTTTTCAGATTTATCTTTTCCAGGGCTGGAGAGTTTGGTCCAATGGTAGATGCTTTAAAGACTCTGTTTAAATTCAGTTTCTAAATATTTCGCTTTTAAGTCATTCTGGCTATATTAGGATTCATTCCAAAACTTGCTGAAGTCAGTGGAAAGATTTTTTTTCTGATCTCTGGAATTTCTCTTGTGCTCTTGCAGCAGAAAGGTATGTGAGTTAAGGCTATGCTTTAAGTGGCCATTGTGCAACAAGGGAGTTTCAGGCAATTAAAAAAAAGAAAACAAAAACCCAGCAGTGGTTATTTCTTTTGTACTAGCATCTATAAACCTGTCCTGGAGCCATGCCTCACTCTGCCAAGCACAAATAAAGAACAATCTGTTGTGCCCTTGCTCTCAGAGCTCATCGGTAGCCCTGCCCCCTGAGCGGTGCTGTGCAGCCAGGACTGCGGGGACTGACTGAGCCTCACTTTTCTCCCCGCAGCTGGAAAGACCGACCAAGCAGATGCGTGAAGCAGAGGAGCGTCTCAAGGCCATCCCTCAGTTCTGCTTCCCTGATGCCAAGGACTGGCTCCCCGTCTCCGAGTACAACAGGTACCCATCCCGGTGCTCCTCTGCCGCGCGGCGCTGACGGAGAGCATCTGGAGCCGCCACAGCCTCTGCGATGCCCAATTAAGGAAGCAGCAGTTTGAGCCCTGGCCACTTCATGATCAAGCAGCTGTATTTAATTCTCCTTTCTTTTGAAGTTCTGTGCTCTTTCTTCTTCCCTGTTCTGCCTGCCTCGCAGGCCTGTGTGGCTGAGAGGAAGAGGCTCAAAGGTTCCTCTGAGTGCTAAATTCAAAAGCATAAATGGAAGTATTTAAAATTAATCTAAAAAACGACAGGGCCCTGCCCACCACCTGTCCCAGCCATTTTTTACCTCAGAGTGCTTGTTTAGATTTGCAGGACACTCTTCATTTGTACCAAAACATTGCTGTCTAAGAACTTTTTTTGGAGCTGAGCTCTGCACCAGGAGAGGAGCCCTTCCAGTCGATAGGAATGACTGCAAGAGAAGGGAAAGGGAAGGGAGAGTCAGGCTTGTCTTTTCTTTTTCATTCAAAAATAATCTCAAAAATGTATTATTCCCCCCCCACCCCATCGGTATGTCAGAACCTGTTGATGCAAAGATGTAGAAGTAACAGGATAGACTGAAAGTATAGAAATGGAATGATTTGGATTGGAAGGGGCCTCTAAGAGTCATCTAGTCCAATCTTTCTGCCACGACTAGGGACATCTTCTACTAGATCAGGCTGGTCAGAGACCCGTCCAGCTTGACCTTGAACGTTTCCAGGGATAGGGTGTCTAACAGCCACTCTGGACTGGGCTATTCCAGTGTTTTACCACACTCATTGTAAAACATTTCTTCCTTTTATCTAGTCTGAATCTCCCTGCCTTTAGTGTAAAACCATTACCCCTTGTCCTATCACTACAGGGCCTATGGGTCTGTTCCCATCTTTCTTTGAAACTCCTTTTAAGTGTTGAAAGGCCACAATAAGGTCTCCCCAGAGCCTTCTCCACGATAAACAACCCCAGTCTCTCAGCCTGTCCTTGTAGCTATTCCATTGCTTTGAGAACTTCTTGTGTTACTCCTCTGGACCTGCTTTGACAGGTCCCTGTCTTTACTGCACTGAGGATTCCAGATCTGGATGCAGTACTCCAGGTGGGGTCTCCCCATATTCTGCTAGAATATGACGTGACTTGTTAAGGTGCATGGTCTGAGTAGCACGTAAATGGAGTGAGATCTGTTCAGAGTGTGTCTAGAGGGACTTTTCATGATGACAAGGAAGTAGCATTTACCTGCAGAAATTATTGTAGCCAAGAATATATATGGAACTTCTTATAGGCAGATGTATGGCACATGCAACATAATCCTGTGGTATTCTGTGTTCCTTGGCTGCATTATTCAGTACATGGAAGCACCTGCACAATGAGTTATTGAAAACACTGAGAAGGAGAAGCAGACAACTGTGTGGGTGACACTGGCATGGGAAGCCCACAGCCCTGCCTATACATCATGTCTCCTCTTCTGCTGCTGTTCCCTTTCACGAGACCATGTTTGTGAAACAAGATATCTCTCCCATATACAGCTATAATTATATAAACCCTGGCATTCCAGCACAAAGAATTGTTCTATACAATGCCATTTAAAATTTGCAAAGCAGTCAGGAATGTGCCTCAGCCCAGGCACAAATTCACAGACCCATCCCTTTACCTGTTCTGTAATTATAGCCTTAAACTGTTGTTTCACTGTGCTGTCACAAATGCTACTTATCCTAGACATAGATATAAAATGAGCTGAATTTTGGAAATCTATGTTGTTTCTGAATTAGAAAATGAGTTCTCTACTCTTAGAGAATAGCTAGGGTTCTCCCTTAAAGAGCAAAGTTCAGTCCAAAGACAGGATTTATCTAAATGTAAAGAAGCATTTTGATACTGCCCTCAAAATCTGATTCTTGTGTTCCTTCTGCAGTAAAAAGAGATGCCATGTCCCTGAATTCAGCATCCATCTCTTCTGCTAATAAGACACCTGGGTTATTCTCAGCCCTTTTGCTCTGCTGCTGAGGGAGATTTTCCCACAGAGTGTGTCCTAATGAAGGGCAGAGAGAAAAACCCTACAGTGGGTAGAATCTCTCACTAGATAAGACATTATCCCTTTCTGAGTGATCTACCTCATGGCAATCACAGCTATGCTGCAGTTCTGACAGTAAGATCTGGGCAATTTCCTTTCTTCTAGTGAGACCTTCTCTTTCATGCTGACTGGGGAAGATGGGAGCCGACGGTTTGGCTATTGCAGGAGGCTGTTGGTAAGTACATCACCTTCACCTCAAAATGCAGAATTCTGTTAAACAGTATCTCAAAACTGTACTGTGAACTTTGAGGATGTCTCTTGTGGTTTTAGAAAAAAACAGGTTTTTCTCACTCTGATATCTGGAAATGTGAGGAGCTCAAGTAAAGTAAGAATTTGTAGTGGCTGTTTTGATCAAATAGATCCCCAGGCTGGTAGGAAATTCCTAAGAATGTGGAAAGTTTCTTCTGTAAGCACTTACTTTATAAATTCTTTTTATTATGTACTTTCAAGCAGAATCAGAAATACTACAACACTGCAAACAAAGGCAAGCCTGGTATTTCTAAATATTTGTGAGTAGTGTTTATCTCCTGGGCAGCTGCTCACGTCTCCAAAGGACTCTGCCAGCACTGCCTAACTAATCTGCAGCAGGTCTGTGACACAGGTAAATAACCCACCCTGGTGAGTAGGAGGACAGCAGTGGTGGACAGCATACTCCCATCACACTTTGCTCAGGACCATGAAACCAAAGCTGGTGCCAGCAGTGGGAAGTCTAGTTTCTGAGGCTCCTTTTCAGTCCTTGTGACCAGGGGTGGTCAGCTGGTGAGGTGGGGACCTGACTCAGCCTACCCATCACCATGAATATCACTGGATAATTGATGAACTGAGAACATGGCAGTGTGTATGTGTCAGGGGAAGAACTGGCAAAAAGGCTTGCAAAGTGTGTTAAGGCTGTTGAAGCACAGTGCAAACAGAGATTTTTGGTGTCTATTCTGTAGACCTGACTGGATGGCAGCAAGGCATAAAGCAGTTGGTTGTTTCTGTGCTGGCCTGTGCTCATCACCTCCTGGACAGGTTTTGAGCTGTTTGTGAGTGACTGGTGGGGAGCCATGGCTCCTGTACTGTTCACATGACAGTTGCCTACACTTGGCTGGAAAGCTTATATGGATATTGGATGCTGCAGGAGTCTTTGGCTTACTCTGTGTAAATGAAAATGCATAAAGAATGTCTACAGCAGCTTTGTAAATAGGTCCACCATATCTAAGAGAAAGGAACACTGGCACTTTGCCCTCCCTTCTGTTTCTGGCACAATTTCCCACCTTTTCAGGCAGGGAACACCTGCCTCCAGTAGCTTTCAGTGGCTTCTAGTCGACAGAGTAACTTGCTGTCACTAGAAATAACCCTCCATCCTGCAATGCTGCCTGTTCCTGACCCTTCTCTTATCCTGCTCTCTGCCCATGGCAAAGATCCTTGTCATGCAGACAGCAGATGCTCTGTCTGGGAGGTATTGCTGTGTGTGGTTCCTCTATTTGTAAGAAGTTTCATTTAAACTAACATAACAGGAAACTTGTTTATCAGTTCTGGGGGAGGTATTTGCCGTAGGTAGCGTCACAGAGACTTACTTACTCCGTATAACACAATGTCAGAGTGGGCCACAACAAGGTTTATATGTGGGCAGGAAAGATCTCTGAAGGCTTTTGTTGCAGTAAATCAAGGGTTGGTCAGGGGGAGACTCAGGGATAAACAAGGGAAGCACCTAGAAATTATCCTTGCTGGTGTAAATAAGCGTAACAAGATACAGGGCAGCAGTGCAATTCAATGACGTTTTTGTGAGCTGTCATAAAGAGGATAATAAGGTATATTTGGAAAAAAACCCAACAAAACCTCAGAAAATTTTGGCTAGATATATAGAATGTTTTCAGTCTCCCAGGTGAAGGAGGTTTAAGACTTTTATCTTTCTGAGAATATTAGCAAATTTGTAACCGTGCACAGAGCTTACATTTGTGAAATGCAAAATAGTTGATCCTGGACTAGGTTGAGACTGAAATAATCAGCCACAATAAAATAGATTTATACACAGGAATGTTGAATCAGTTTGTCAATGACACATTAACATAGGCTTTCTTAATTCACTTAAGGCTCAGTGAAATTCACCCTACATTAAAGACAACATACAAGTAGAACACTGACTTTCAGCTGGTGCAAAAGATAGGTTAGCATAGCAGGAAATACAAGCAACAAAATGGTATTTTGAGACAGCATTGGAGATTGCTTTTATTCTCCACTGGCTATGGCAAAAATCAATCAACCAAATAGCCAAAAAAAAAAAAAATGTTAGAAAAAGGGAAAATAAGTACTGTCTTGATATATCTTTCTAAACCTGGCATATCAAAGCAGACATGTCCCATCTCACAGGTACACCCTATGCAGCAGAGGAAAGAAAGGAGTGATAACAATGCCCTATTGCAAAAGTAGCAGAGATCTACTGTTATTTGGCTTCTGCAACCTCTTTCTGTCCTGCTGGGAGAAACGGTGGGAATTGGGGTTGTTACCTGAAGCGCCTTCTCCGTAGGGCCCAGCTGCGCTCACAAAGTGTAACAATGAAGCGTGACGTGATGAAACAGCCTCACCAATGTATTCCTCCTCTGTTTGCAGGCATGTGCATACTTTCTTATTTTATATATGCAAATAGAGTTTGTACAGGCAACAAGGAGCAGGTAAATCCCATGGGCACTCTTTATATGCCAGAGGCATATTTTTTCCAGTTTCCTGAGCAGTTTTTGGAAGATCATATCAGGGTGGCTCTGATGTGCCACAGCATCTCCTTCAATTAGTCCCATTCCTGACCTGCAAGTTCTGTCAAATGCAACAACCATAATTTGGGAACTACATGCAGTTTTTAGCAGACATTATGTAAGAGAAAGGTGGGGCCACACTGAGTAATATAGAACCATAAGAAAACCCTAAAATTCTTATAAGCTGTTCCACTTCAAGCCAAGCCAACTGCTGTGAGGCTAATTCCTCAGAAAATGTTCCCCTGCTGTCCTGGGGAAGGCTCTTGTAACACCCAGTGAGAGGTGTCTCACACCTTCTGGAGCACTTGGCAGCCTCATTAGCAGGCTCCATGGTTGGCTGGGCCAGCCAGCCTGATCCTGTGAGGGTGGCTATCTGTGTCTTCTGCAGAGGCTGGTGTGCAGATTCCTTTCTTCAGGAAACAATTGTGTCTTATCGGCCTTGTTCTCCTTTGGCATCTCGCAATGTGAACAAACTGCTCCACTTTTTCTTTTTTACTTTCAGATTTCAAATTCTTTCAGACCTTTTTTTTCTTATTTTTTATTTTGGTTTTGGGGTGTGTGTGCTAAAAAGCTGCCAAAACTACCCCAAGGGATACAGTGACAATTATGTTTTGTTTGTACTACAAATCCTCTACAGTATCCCCTTTGAATGTATTTATGTTGTTTCATTTTGGAACAGGATTAGGATGGAATGTAACCTATTGTACTACAGCAGACAATCTGCACTTCCATAGATAGCATGAAGTTTTCCAGTTATGTTTTGATACCTCCAAGGCAATTGTGCAACAGCTTTTCTAGTGAATGCACATCAGCAGCAAAGGTGATTTGGATACCCTTGCAGGGGCTGTTTCATCCTACCCCTCTCCTCCCTCTCACGTAAAATTTGCTTCTCCACTACTTTTGTAGGCTAAGACAAGCCAGCCCCAGGAGTCAGTGGAGGAGCAGATGCCTTAATGTGACGTGTGTACCTTGAAACATGAAAACCAGCTGTTAGGTGGGACTAGTTCTTGCTGCATTTGCTGGGGGTCAGCAAAAGGGAGTTTGTTCTCCTGTCAGCCTCAGGAGAAGGGAAGCTGTGAAAACTTTTGTTGGATGCAAGATATTTATGGGGCTGAAAAAAGCTCAGTGGAAAACTTATTCTTCTCCTTGCCTTCTTCCCTCCATCCTGCCCTCCCCTTTGACAGCCCTGTGCACATTGGGTGCTCTGGCATTCACAGTTCATCTTTCCCAAATAACAAGAAGACTTTACGAGGACCTTTTGGTATTTAAAACACCCACAGTTTTCTCATGGTCTGAATTTGGCTTGTCCCTAACACGGAATCAAGAGCTGCCATAGAAACTGGCTTGTGACTGACTATTCATTTTGGACTCCCAATATTTTTTAATTGTTCTGATTCCTGACACCGTTAAGGCACATCTTTGTTTCTGGATATACTGCCTAGCACATGTGCTTTGCAAAGCCTGCTTCCTTCAGACAGCTCAGCTGCTGCAGTGCATTTTTGATGGGCCTTTTTCACCTGGCCTTGGGGCAGCTCTTACTGCTTCCTCTGGTTTTCCAAATAATGCTCTCTGAGGAATTTTTTAGAAGATCTTGGACAAGATGTCCTGTCCCATTCTGGGGGGAAAGGAGCACAGTCCTGGAGTTTCAGGTTGATGCTGCACTCCTGCTTCTTAGAGATGGCAGGTAGGGTCGTGGTGCATCTTCCTCTTTCTTGCCATTTGGTAGTTCCAGTTTTGCTGCTTTTTCTCTCCACGCATTTAATCTTCAGGAGATGGAAGAAGCTGGGAGAAGTGCAGGAGGGAAAATGTTGTGTTTGGTCCCTGCTGCTTTGGTTTCTCTGATGTCAACATGCTAGCCTTTCCCAGTTATTTCTAGGGCTGTGAAACCAGAAGCTTTCCTGACACTCCATGACCTCCTCAGTATCGTATGAACCCCAGCCCCCTAAATTATGTGTCTGAAGGGCTGTTGGTGTGCCCACTGGAGGGACAACCTGCCTTGCTTTGATAGCAAGCATGTGCAGTGTGCGAGCAACAATCAGTGCTATGCCAGACTGGGATAATCTCTGGAGGCCCCCCCCAGATTTCAAGCATGCAGACAGGGAGGTGTGATTTGAAAGATTAAAATGGCAGCCTTAGCTTTTGGAGCAAAAGTCTCTTGTTTCTCCTGCCAAAGCAGGTTTCGGAGTGGGCTTCTGTCACTACATTTCAGATTAAACTCACTATAAAAAGGATTGTGCTGAGCCACCCACAGATCAGCCCAGATGTAGATTTCAGTTTCTCCATCTCATAGCCAAGTTCTTGTCAGTTTATGTTCATCCTTTTGGGAAACTGTCTTGTTATCAACAAAACGCATTAGCGTTTTCATTTGTGATACTGATCTAGGGCTGAAAATATCCTGGATTCCATGAAAACAAATTGAAAACAAATCCAGACCAAAACATCATCCCTTACATCCCTCTTCTTTCAGGAGGAGTGCAATGCATCAAGGCAGAGTCGCTCCAGTGCCTCTCAGCTGTGCTACTTTACCATATCACTTTCCTGAACTGGACCAATTCTTTGTGTGCAAGAGTGATCCTTGGATGGAGGACATGGCTCCAAGGCCATGTAGAGCCTTGTAAAGCACACCCTGCAACTTGGGAGAGCTCTTTTTTGGGAAGAGAGGAGTTTAAACTAGGACTGCTGACCAGACCCTGTGCCTGACTCTCCCCTAGTGAGGAGAGATGAGCCCAGGCAGGAGTGACACGTCCCATACAATGTGGATTTTTTTTCTGGAACAGAAGCAAACTAAAGTACAATGAGCAGGTGTTTTAGATCTATCTTTGAGGTGTAAACTAATGGCTGAGAGGGGAGGTTATGTGAAGGGCGTCATAAATTTGAGAAATCCTACCCCTCAGAATGGCTCTGCCTGAGGCTTTTGCTTGCTGCCTCTTACAGATGATGTGTATGCATCTGCCAGGCTGTGCTGTTTGCAGGAAAAAGCCTCTGAAATAACAGAAAAGGATGTCCTACATGATGAGTGCAAGGAGGGAACAATCCCAGCTCTCACAGGCATGTAGCCTTTAAGACATTTGAAAGCAATGATATTTCATGAAGAAGAATCTTGGAGTAAGCACTAAGCAGTTATTGTTTCTGGTCTTATAGATGACCCAGGAATGTGCTGTTTTTACTGGCACTCAGTGAGACAGCTCTTGGTTGGGAGTTATCCAAGGCTCCTGGCATGGCTTCGGCATTCCTGCAGATTTGACACAATGATTTTAACCAAAATCCCACATGCTTGATATAATCACTCAGTGCCTTTAGAAAGGATTTTATACCTAATATGGACAAAAAAGGACTCTGCTTTTCCAGAGATGTGACGTCTAGTGAGCAGGTTCGGATCCAGAAATAGACTCATCTGTATTCACTTAGCTTTGGTATTTTTTTGTGGTCTTTATTATAACAGGCAGGCACCTGCTGACTGTCCAAGTCTAGATTGCAATATTCAGATTTAAAAAGCACAGCTACCCCTCAGTTTCTCTCGATTGTCATCTCTGTGGCATGTGAATGTCAAACACACTGCAGGGAAGTTAATCACTGTATCAGCAGAGTCTAATGATGATTCAAAGAGAAATATACACCAGATCTTTGTGTTGATACAGAGCAGATCATCAGCCACTTTGGCTAAATGTACAAGTGGGCAGAAGCTGATGGAAACAGTGACTGAGCTCCTTTATCATGGAGTCCTTACTGATGGAGAAGGTTCTGTCACTGCTGCACATCAATAATGTACAGCTGCACAAAGAGGCTGAGTGGTGCCAAGTGGTTCTTTTACAGTCACTTTTCACTCCATGCAGCACAGACAAAAGACCTGAGGATGTAGGCAGCCTCCTCGCCTATTGTCTCAGACCCCTCTTTCAGCTTTTTGCTGCTGTAGTTCTGGGGTTTGCCACTGTACCTGCTGGCTGTTCTGTGCTGTGATGGATGTAGCTCCTGGAGGAGGCAGCACCAGGACTTCTTTGCATTATATCTTGGGATTGCTTGTGACTTCAGATGAAGTCGACAAGCTGCCTTGTTGAAATAACAGCCCCCAGGAAGTGTGTGACTGCTGATCCGATGAAAATCAGTTGCAACTACACAGTACTGGAATGCTACCTCACAGCTTCTTAAAAATGCAGTGGAAAGCTGCAATGCATGGATGTCACTGTTACCAGCACACACTGTACACAGGCAGACCAGCTCTCTGCCCTGAGGACCTTGCAGTGACAGTGTTTTTTCCAAAGTGCTCAGCATTGGCCTAATTCTATTCTTTTCCAGTAAATAAGCTGAATCCAGCTGAATCCAGCCAGTGGTTATATCCTTCTTTCACACACAGTGCTGGTGGGCCTGCCCTGCAGTGGTATAGGCAGGGTAGCAGAGCCCAGTATGCTTAGGAAGTACCATTTGCTTTTCTAGGAACTATCTTTTCTAGGATGATTATAGACGATGATCTTTACAGTGGTTTTTTGGGAGGGGGCTGGGGGGATGTGCATCATTGATTCATACTTGCCACTGTTATTTGAGTTTCATGTTTATCATGAGTTAATCGGAGGAAGTTAACGATTTACTCATGCAGCTTGCCTTTGTTTAGGTCTGTGGGCTTGCTTTCTATGTGTTGAGCTCTCTCTGAACACCATGGAGTGAGTGGGGAACTGAAGCCATCATAACCTCCCTTAGCATTGTAGATCTCCTCTCCCAGCACACGGCCCCAGGGTGGCCCCACTCCTCATGCTGCAGCAGCAGCAGAGGACAGAGATAGCAGAGGCATGAGTTACAGTCCTAGCTCAATGTGCTTTTATGGCTGCAAGCTGGAGTGATATTGGAATACAGCTCCAGTGTGCTGTGATTTCCAAAGAGGATAAGCACTATTTACACTTTTTAGCTTCCTATCTTATGTAAGAAATATGATGCTTTTCCAAGAGCAGCTATTTGTTGGAGAAACAGATAGTGAAAGACATCACATGATGGCCAAGTGGGTGATCAGAGAGAGAAGTGTATTTCCTTACGACTCCAAACTGATATATAATTTCTATCTCCCTTTTGCTGTTGTCAGCCGAGTGGAAAAGGCCCACGCCTACCTGAGGTTTATTGCGTCATCAGCCGGCTGGGGTGTTTTGACTTATTTTCCAAGGTAAGAAGATACATTTTTAATATTGCTTTTTCATTTGATTGTTTACTGAGACACATCCACAGTGATGAACCAGACAGGAAGAATTTCTTCCTTTGATGGGAGATAACTATTTTACGGTTGCTATTTTGGATAGTTCATCCCTATTGTTGGGTTCATCGAAAAGTCTTATTACTTCTGTGACTGAGGCAGAATTTGATTCAAAAAACATCTGGGTGTCTGTATGATCTGGCTGCCTGAAGTTTTTTCCATTGTTTTCTACAACCGTTCTGTGTCGAGCTGTAATTCTTGGCATCTATAGTTTGAAAGATGGGCCAGTACCACTTTTACTCCAATACCCCATGGAATGATGAGGTTAAGAAAAAAAGATTATTTGATATGTGAATTCTATATGTTTAACCCTATTGACACTTTTTTTTTAATTCTAGGAGGCTAGGAAAGCATGGATAATCTTTTAATTGGCCAAATTTTAATTGATAAGGTTTTAGTTCGCCAGACGTTTTCACTTCAGATATGGGAAATCTCAAACACCTTACACAGATTTTTCTTGTTCATTCATATAGGAATAAAGTTGAAAAGAACATGTAAATCATTGAAGTTAATAAAAATCATAGCATTTATATTGTTCATACAATCTAATATTTATACAAATATTATCTTCAAAGCAGGTTTCAATCTTTTCTAGATAAAACTTTGTTTAACACAAACCTTGTGTGAAGAACAAAATTGGGTTGCACTAGTTAAATGCAATTCTGCTTCTCACATCTTTCATAAAGCTCTGAAATAAAGGGTTTCTAACAGTGTCTCTTAGACATAATATGTATCTAAACACAGATATCTGTGAGTGAAACAGAATGCATTGTTCTGGGAGGATCACACAGCTCACCAGACTCGTGGTATGGACAGATCTCCTGAGGCTCTTTGTTTGCTATTATGTTTTTATCTAATTTTGACAGTGAGCTATTTTTTCAAAGGAAAACTTGGGAGAGGGAAAAAAAAAAAGAGGAGAAAATTTAAGTATTTTCCTTACAACCAAGTATCACTGTAGCTGAGGTATAAGGTCAGACAAGGAACGTCATTGCACAAAAATTGTAAAATTGATTTTCCAGTTCAGTCTGTAACTTGGGAAAAAGTGTCTGGTCATTCAGCCAAAGTGACCTCAAGGCTGATGGGTGAGTGTGTAACTCCAGGGGCCTCAGCAGGGGCTGTTCCCAGGCACTGTGTCAGGCAAGCCCAGTGAGCCTTGAGTTCTTGATGTGTGCAGGAAGAAAAGCTCACACTCAGTTCCATCTTGGGTCCTGTAACACATCTGTGCTGTTTTTCAGCTCCTGGGTTCGTGGAGGGGCTGGGCCACAGAAAGGTCCCATCCACACTGGGGTCTGGTCACAGCAGCGCTGTCCTGCAGAGGGCTGCTCACCTCCCAGTGGCACCGTGCCAGGGTGGGAACAGGATGTTGGGCACACGGGGCTGACTCCAGCCCTGGGCTGGGTTTAGCACAGCTCCCTAACACATGCTCCAAGAACCACATTTGGAAAAGGTTGGAGGAAGTGCTTGAGCCTTAGTATCCCTATTGATTTTGAAGACAGATGTGGTGTGGATGGAGACACAAGTTCTTGAAAAGTGAGACAGTCTCTTTTTTCAGCCAGTTAAGAGGAACCTTTGTTGTCCTTAGATGAAAAATCCTGTGAAAGAGAGGGAAAAAGTCTCAATGGTGCATTTTTCTGAATTAGTTAAAACATGGAATAGTTGTCTTTACAGTAAAATGTGAGTGATGAAAGACCACAGATTGTTAAATCTTGGATATTATTTACCAGAAAAGCAAAAGCACTCCTCTGTTTTAAAATGTTTATCATCCTATTTCTGATAACCCTGCATTATTTTCATCATCCACGTCTTCCTTTTATGCTCACTCACTCTTGTATACCTATTGCTAATACCTATTGCTGAGACAGACTTGAGAACCACAGATATCTTAACCTCCAGCCAGTTCATTTGGTCATGGTTTCAACAAATAGTTTGAACCGTTTTCTCTCTTGAGATCTCTGTTCAACTTTTATTTGGTTTAAATACTTCTCTTCCTGTTGTGAAGGTTGTTGGGGCAGGCATATGACACACACATGACCTCCAACTCCAGCTACTAAAACATCAAACAGTGACTGCAGGAAAGGAGATGGATACTGGGCACACTACAGCTGTGTGCTGACAGGGTGCAGGAGCACCAAGGAACCTGGGACACAGCCCTGGTTCATTACTGCATCCCATTTGGGCATCTGGTTTTGTCTGGTGAGGATAGTTATGTTGCAAATCACATCAAGAATGAAATTCATATCCTCATTTATGGTTATCTGCCACTTCCGTGGACTTGAATGCAAGTTATGTATATAGGGGCCTTTACTATGTTGCAAGGAGGAAGGGGAAACTATGCACTAGCTAATGCCTGTGTTGGCATTTAGTGTCACCAGCTATCACTGCAAGTCACCAGCTTGTGCTTAAGTATCTTTTAATGGTCTGTTTCTGTGAAAATAATTTCCAAGAGAAACAAAAGAAAATGCCTGGCTCAGACCCCCTAACTCTTGTATGGCCTTTTGCTCTTGAGTGGTGGTTAAAAGATCACCATTTCAGGTCAAACCACTAACTGCTTTGAAACTTGCTTTCTCGTCTTCTTTAGGTTTATCATCTATATGGTCTGCCTAATGTGGGAAAACTTAGCAGTGATCTAATTTATGTTGGCCCATGTGACCAAAGAGAGAAAGAAAATAACAGTTTTCTCTCTAAGAAGTTCCATCTGCTTGTTTCAGAACTGGCTTGCCTGCTCTGCACTGTGTCAAACAGCAAGTGACCATAATGCAGGCACCCAGTGTGAACAGCTGGGCAGGCTTCATGAGGCTGCTTGTGGCTCTCCAGCTCAGCCCAGACTGTGACAGGACAGCCACTGCTGGCACCCTTTCAGGAGCTCTTTCCTGGTAGACCTCTATCACAGTGTGCCAGCATTGCTTTTCTTGCTGCTCTGGCTTTTTCCTGCCATCTCAGTTGAAACGGAATGGGCACCCAGGGTAGAAGAAAGTGTTTTTCCTTAATACAAATGTCAAGATGTACCACTGAGACACAACGTTGACCTTGCCTGTGATCATGGGATTTGTCTTTGTCTTTCTCTCCTTCAGTTCACCCTGTTGTTCAGGCAAAATCCCAACAATATAGTTCCCTTTTGTCATGCCGAGTCTTCTTTTTCCTTTCCAGATTCATTCATTCTTCCTTGCCTCTGTGTTAACTCCATTCATAAACAGGCTCTGGTTTATAACCAGAAAATGCATCATTTTTAGTGTATGATCCAATTCTGGGGCCTTGATAGTAGTGAAGAAATGCATGGCAGAGGAGAATTAAACTTGAATGTACCACGTTTAGGTGCATGTGGGTTAAGAGATGCTTCGAAAGTGTATGTGGTGCTGACATGTTCTGTTTCTTTCTCTTATGTCTTACTAATGAATTAGATCCTGGATGAGGTTGAAAGGAGAAGGGGAATATCTGCTGCCCTGGTTTATCCATTTATGAGAAGTCTGATGGAATCGCCTTTTCCTGCACCTGGAAAGACAATCAAAGTCAAAACTTTTCTGCCTGGAGCTGGAAACGAGGTAAAAAGCAACTGCAAACATTAAAAGTCTTCCCCCTTACCATTCCAGTATTAAACAGCAAAAGAAAAACAGGAGGAGACAATACAGACACTGCAGGGATAAGAGGGGGCACACCCTCAAATTGAGCAGTGCAGGAACTACACCAGTGTTGGTATGCTAATGCTAGTTCCCATTCATGATTATAAGCCAATTTATTGTTATTTATTATTTCATGTTTATTAGTAGGTTGGGTTTAAGAAAAAAACCACAACACAAATGTCCCAGTATGGCCTGGCCTAGTGTAGTTCACAGACTATGGCATTGCTGGGCTTTATCACAGTGATAACGGGCAAGTGTGAGTAGTTCAGCAGCTGGTTGCTATTTCAAGACTCATTACTGCTGGTCCTGGCCTTGGTAGGAGTGACCAGCAGCATTTAAATGGCACTTTTTGGTAGTAAATATCCTTTAACTGTCCCTTAAAGAAAAGTGTGTCATATAGAAGTTTTTTTGTGCAAGTGTGCACATACATATAATAGATATAACTTCTTTTTATTACTGATTCGAGCAGCTAGAAGCCTACCATTATACAACATATGCCTTACTGCAAAATGCCAATATTGATGAAAAGTTTTTGTAACTTGAGGCTTGCCAGCCATTAACTGTGTCAAATTTTTGCTCTTTGCATGCCCTTATGCAAGCGTACAGTAGCTCCACTCAGATGGGCAAGCATATAGAGGGGATACATTAGTGAAGATAGGAATAGAATTTATCCCAGTTAGTGAAAGCAGTTTAAAAAAAAAAATCCCATTTAAGGGTTATTTTGCTCTCCTTAGGGTAAGTTTTGCAGTGCTTTTACTATTTTTACATTAAATCATATTTTTTCTAAATGTAATGCCACTGACTTCAGTGGATCGGGCCTGTAATGCTGTGTGGTATGAAATGTGAAAGGTTCCTTGTGTAAGTGACTTTCAAGGCATGTTAAAGTTACAAACATTTTCTTCTGGAGAGGCAGCAGCTGAAAGGGTGATTGGAGTAACAGTGGAAAGATCTGATAATGCATTTTTGATGTGAATATATCTGGGAACCATGGATCTGCAACTTCTCTATCCTCTGCTCAAGCTCCTGAACTCTCCCAGAGAAAAACATTGAGATAATTACAAGCAAACAAACAACTCTCTTCTGGCTGAGCTTTGCTCTCTGTTATGCTAGTACAAACTCGTTATTTAAATGGAATGCACTGGCTTAATTAGGAACAGAATCTTGTCCTTCCATTGTGGCTCCTCTTGCCTAAACAAAGATGATGATTAATTGGGAAGTAGACAGTATATTTCTTTGTGATGAGCAGAGTGAAGCAGAAGACTTTGCCAGGCAGCAGAAAACATCCATGGTATTTGTAAAAGTTGCTGTAACTTGCATTGCATCCTACCCCGCAGCAACATTTTCATGTTGGAAGTTTTTCAGTAAAATCAGCTCTTCGTGATTTGGCACACAAACTTGATTTGAGCTTGCAATCCCAAGGTTAAGGAAAGGAAGTGGGCACCTTTACTGGTTATGAAGAAGAAGTAGGCAGGCAGCATTTCCCAAGGAGGCCTTCCTGGTACACCATCACTCTGCAATTTGTTATTTACTGCTTTTTGGGGCAGCAGCTCAGTGATGGGTGTCCAGTACTCTGGCATCATAATGGTTCTGTATTTCAGACTTAAAAAAAATCAAATCTGTACACAAACACTGGTTTTCAGGAATTTTGTAAGGCCTACTCCAATTTAAACCTGATAAGGCATGCTTGTGGAAAATAGTATCATAGTATCATGTGCATGAAAACATAAAAAGGGGTCTAAAACAATAGAGTGGTGGTGATTTTTGGACATCTGGGAAGAAGGAGATGTATATATGTTCCTGTTAATATGCCTTCAGAGATTTCAACACAGCTTCAAGTTGGACAACTTTTTCTCTTTCCCTTCTCTTTCCTCGAATTCCTCAATAGTCCATCACTTGCTCTCTCGCGTTTCATATTTTTCTCCTTCTGTTACTCTCTTCATGTTATTTTTCCCTCTTCTTTTTTCTGTCCTCTGCCTTCAAGTTCCACATCTGAGCATGTCAATTGCAGAGTAAAAGGAAGATATAATAAAGGAATCAAGCAAAAGACATTTGAGAAAAGGAAGGAGAGGGCCTGAGGTCATGGATGAAGTATGAAAATTAGACTTTAAAGGGATGTCACAAGTCACCATCTAAGGCCTTGTCCTGACTCCCCAGTTAAGTATATATATATGTACATATCTTTATATGGAAAGATATATAAGTAAATAAAAAGGTTTAAAATGTTATCTAGTTAATTATGCATCATGGAAGAGTGGAAATTTAGTAAATGTGGTTTCAGTTCTGCCTGGCCTTTTAGTTCAGTCCCTGGCTCCTATCTAGATGTTAACATGAATTGCTAGCCAAGCTTAGAACCAAATTTACATTGTCTTTAGGACTGTTTTAACCCTTTAAGCTTCCGGCTTCAGTGTTTCCAATTGTTACTTGTTTCATACAGTTGACTGAGCCAAGCTTTACGTCTCTCACGCTGTTTACAAGGGAGTAGTGTGCTTCCCTCAGAAATGACAGCAATGCACACAGCTGTATTCTGGGAAGAATGACCTGATAGTGAATTGTGCAATATGCCATTTCTGTGGAGTGCTTTGCCTCCAACCTCAGTTTGCCAAAGGGGTTGGGGTTCATTCCCTGTGTTCCCTCAAAAGGAGAAAGGAAAGCCTGGAGCAGTGCTGGAGGCCCAGGCTGGGGTGCTGGGCATCCCTGGCACTGTGAGCCCTGGCCAGTGATGCTGACTGGGGTTTGTTGGATGTGTTCAGGTCATTGAGCTGCGGAGGCCCATGGACTCACGTCTGGAACACGTGGACTTTGAGTGCCTTTTCAAGTGCCTCAGTGTTCGTCAGATCATCCGCATCTTTGCTTCTCTCCTGCTGGAGCGGCGTGTGATTTTTGTAGCAGATAAGCTCAGGTAAGTGGCAGAGGGACCCGAACCAGGACAGTTCAGGACAGTGCTATCTCTGGATACAAGCAGCTTTATGAACTGTACAGAATGGTTGTTAGATGTGAGGATCCTCTCACCGTGGAATTTAAATGTCTTTTTACACCAATGGAAGTTATTTGTGTCACACGTGTGGGGCACACATTCACTAGTGATCACTAGCTGCAAGCTGTTTTTTCTGTGTCTTACTTTCCCATCTGTAAAATACCTATTCTTACCTGTTCCATAGTCAACAAATGTTTGCACAGCATTTTGAATCAATGGCGTTCTGGCAATATTTCATTTCAGGTTTTGGACACGGAGTACTCATAAACAGTAGCAGAGATTATCACCTTGCAGCCATGCAGTGCAACCAGGCAGGGAACTGGGGTGCTGAGAGTTCCCCTGGTTTACTCCATGCACTACAGAGAGTTTTTAATGGGGTTAGGTTTCAAATCCTGCACTGCCAAACCCATCCAGTATTAAAATGCTATCACAGTCCATCCCAGCTAGCTAGGATATTTTTCCTGCTGCTCACATGTCCTGAAAACATTTCCCTTTTGAAGCTCCATCTTGGGATGCTTGCTACAGCCTTTCAACATAGCTCTTGCTTCCCTGCCCTTTGATTGCAATCTACCCTCTGGGTTTCTCTGAGGCATGAACTCATCCCAAGATGTAAGGAGTGAGAGCAACAGGTCACAGCCCTACATGGCTTTTCCTAAGGAAGTGGGAGCTCTGTGTAGGCTGCACCCTTGCTCCACAGCAAAGAAACATCCTATTTTTCAGATGGCTGTGTCCAGGTATCTATATAAGAAAAGCATGGCCGCTGTAAATAAGACATTCTTTGCTGTGGCATGATAAATAATAAAAGATGGCAAATAAAAATAAAGACTGTAATTTATTAGTCTCCGGAACATGCAGCATCTTTTAAAAGGACACAAAAGACTGTATGGGTGGTTAAAAACACAGATGGATCTACCCAAACAAACTCTGTTAAACACTTTATCAGTCCTGACCTTCTCTGAATGACCGCCAGAAATAATAGCTGCACTTAGTGGCCGCCAGTGTATATAATAGCAAAAATACTTTGCATAGTAAAAGCTTTACAACCTTTAGGGGAAAATTTCTTAAAGCTGCAGACCCTTCTCAGGTTATAAAGTTACTTCCTTAGCAGTCTTTTTTGTTGTCTAGAACAACAGGAACATTTTATTTCATCCCTTCCCTTGTCAGTAACCCGTAGTTACTTAGTTTGAATGACCATTTGGGATGACTTAATTTTACATTAACTCCTGGTGCGAATTGTGTAACTAGTCCAGGGTTTCTGCAGTACTTTAGTAGACATGTGAGTCACACAATGAATACTGCGGCAGGTGGCTTTTGAAAATGCTGTTGGTGTGTTCCTTTTGGCTCTTTCTACAGCATGCTTACTTACAACATTTTGTCTCTTTCTATTTTACCATTCACTGAGCAGAATTAATGGCACCCACAAGTCTGTAACTCCAAATGACACAGGTCTGCATTCCTTCAAATGGCACGATGATTTGGGTGGAAAATCACAGACATGGTACTGCAGAAGTGAGGCCTCTGCTGTTGCTCTGCTTTGGAGCTCCCAGTTGCTCCTTTGTATTATTGTCCCAGTTTGGCAAAGTACCACAAGCCCTGTTCTGTGGGCCACGGGCACAGTACTGAGGGGATGGCTTGCTGCAGGAGACACCCTCAGCCACAAGGGCCGAGGCAGACAGCAGCCATTCCCAGCCTGGAGTGCTCCTTTGGGACAGCTGCCTTAGCCAATATCATGTCATGCTTCTGGGCACCGTGCAGAGAAGAGAAGCAACAATTAAACTTACCTAGACAGGCTTAAGGCAGCTTGGCATGGAAAGCAGTCATGTTGCGAGTTCTGAGGGCTCACGGTGACCCAGGACTCCATCTGGCAGCCAGGGTTTCATACACACTGCAGCCCTGGCTGGGAGTTAGCAGCTCAGGCTTGCCTGTGCAGTTACGTGCTGCTCACCCTTTGGGCACAGGGAAATAGGTCAACAGGACCAACAGCAACCAGAAATCTGTAAAGATCCCTTTCAGTAAACACATATCCAAACTTTGTGCTCTCCTGCAAAAACTGTTCTCTGGTGAGCTGATGTTTCTGTGTGAGAGCAAGTCATCAGAGGCCATTAGCACGTACTTTGAGAAAGGAGAGGATTCAGATGGATACAAGAGGCTTATGAAGTTTTGTGGTTGCTCCTGTAAGGACGCAACTTTTCTTACAAAAAGGTTTAAATCCATATACTTTGTTATATCCACATGTACCCTTTACTATATACATATACTTTGTTTTGTTTAGTAAGAAGATGACAAAATCTGATGTGTTTGATAAGGTCCTGGATTAAGACTTGTGAATCCCGAGCTATCTTTCTGGAGCCAGAGACCTGCTGAGTGGCACATGCTGTAAACATAGCACCTCTTTCTTACCTTTTGTCTGGTCTGCCTGGGATCAGAAACACTCCAGGACTGAGACTTCTTCTTACTCTGTGTGTTCATACAGCTCTGCTTTATGCAGTGTGGTCCCTCTCAGCACGGGGATCTAGGAGGTACTGTAAAACAGAAACTAAAAATGAGTCCTTTGACAAGGGCCTGGAGAAAGTGACTGTGGATTTAAATTCAATACTTACTGAGGTTTTCGTGGTTTAAATGGGGATGAAGTCTAAAATGAAACACTCTGGCTTTGAGCTAATAACTGTCTCTCTTGGAACCTTTGCCTTATCTGACATGAATTTTGTTTATGGCTGAAGCTGAAGGAGTTTACCAGTAATGTGGAAAAAGAAAAAAAAGTAAAATATCTTACCAGTCCACTCTGTGTGCCCAGAGAACAAGAGCAGGAAATTAAAAAGATTTTACAAGGATTTGAATTCTGTATGTACCCAGAAACTAGCTTAGAAATTAATGATGTTGAGGTTTAGGCTTCAAACAATGCAATGGGATTTTGTGGCTGGCTGTTTAACAGGTCTCCGAGTGATAAATGAGTTCACACATTATACAAGTTTGTGAAAGTCACGCCTAGTGAAGTGAGATTCATTTGAGAAATTGATATTTATGGTTCTTATAGCGCCCAGAATGTGAAAATTTATAGTCCTTGATCTTTGTGCAGAAGAGGTTGTCACTTTTCAACAAAAGAAAGTTGTCTAGCAATGAGAAAGCAACAGTGAAGTGTTGAATGACAAGACTGTGAGGTTGCCCTGGTTAGATATGTGCAGTTAGATTTGGGGGGGAGGTTTCACCAGTAAGTTGATAATACATTTTTTCTGCTTGAAACTGGGTGAATAAAACCCTGCAGCTTTTTGCTTACCTTCAAAACTGAATTTGAATCTGCCAGTCACCTGCAGTATTTTGCTTTCCATGAGCAGTCAAGAAGACAGAGAAATAAAGATAACAACAGAAAAACTTGGAATAATAACAACAACAACAACAATAAAAATAATAATGACAACAACTCTTAAAAAGGTAACTTAAGGCTCCAATTCCTTAAAAATCTGCTGAAAACACAGCTGAGGTGGTATGTCCCATCCCAGTTCAAGTCCCTGACCCAGCTGGAAGCCCCTATTTATGTAACCAGCATTCTGCCTGTTCATCCCAACTCTGAAATAGTCTTGTGACTTCCAGCTGCAAAGGGAGAGCTGCTCTGGTGCCATCCTTTGGGGTTTGAAAGGCAGCAGATGCAAAGTCAGTGGGTCCTGGGGCTCAGGAACAGTGACGCTGCTGAAGGCACAAAGGTAGCAACAGAAAATAAATAGAAAGCAAACATTGGAAGAAAAATATTTCTCTGCTTGTTTTAGTTTTCTGCTGGGGAAACAAATTTGTGGACATGTTTGCTGAGGAGGTGAGGTATCCATGCATGTGAGAACAGTCTCTTTGCCTTTTCCCCTAAATGTTTGGTGAGTGGGAAAGGAAGGCCCTGGACATACCAATGTCCTTTTGTTATAATCCCATTTTTTATAAATAAAAAACACTCTTGCTGTAATCCACTATATTGTGAAGGACTCTGAGGGTATTTTGCTTACATTTCACATGTGGGTCCAGTCAATGCCAGCCAGAGTCAGTGGGAGTGATGAGGCTTGTCTTTTGCTATGGAGCCAAATCCAACAATATTCCTCTCAGTGGCCTTTCTAGAGCTTTTGGGGCTGTGAAAGGCCTCTATAGAGCCCCATCTCTTGTAAAAGACAAAATAACTTTTCATTGTTATGAATGTTATTTTTTATATGAGATATTTCAGCTACTTCTCAGTGAAACAGGAGCATGAGCCTCAGGGAAAAAAATCTCTGTTGACAGCAGTGTGGTTTATGCTCCTAAACCATATGGATAAACTTGGAAATGTACCTCAAGGTGAAGGTGGGCCAGGTGTTTCTCAGAAGTAGCAGTGCCAGCTCAGGAAGTCCTGAGGGAATGATGCTGTGGCAATGCTGGATGACAGTGAATTTCAGTGCAGGTTAATCTTTTGCACATCAGGGTCTCCCACCTGTAGGGAGGGCCACAGATGACTCTGTCTTATCAATAAGAGTTTTCCCTCCGTATTTCTCTGCCCCTCTGCCAGCACCCCTCCCCTGGCCAAGCACAGACCAGCAGTCTGCCACCTGGTGTGCTGCTGCCTCCTGAAACCCTCCTCTGCAGTGCTTGCCCCGGGAAGTCGAGAGGTGCTGTTGCTATGAGGTGTGAAGACTTTATCCTGTTAAGGACAATAACCTCCCTACCCCTCCCCAGAGTATTCTGGACTGCCAGGAGGAATCTGTCTTCCCACACAACTGTAGAAAGTCCATGCGGATCCTAGACCTGACCAAAGGTCATGGGCTGCTGACAGAAACGTTGACTAATACAGGACAGAGCATAAATATGTAAATACTGGAGTAGTCATCCCGCAGGCATGTCTCTGTTAACTTTGTGGAGCAAAAGGGGAGCCGAGTGTACTTGCATTCAAGGGCAAAGGCTTTCAGAACAAACGACAG